ATTTCACAAAGAAGCATAATGTAATACAAACAAACCTATTCCAACCCAAGGATTCATAGCGTGAACAGCATCTCCTAAAAAAGTAACTCTCGTAGTTTTCCATTGATCAACGGTTTCAGGATCGATATCTCTTAATGGTCTTCTTCTCAAAGGATAAAGGGTTTTAAAAGGATATTTTTCATAATCATTTTCGAACCTTAATTTAACCAGTTCCCAGATTTCTAGAAATACGTCAGTCAATTCTCCACCTTGAGGTCTATTTTCTTTAATTCTTTTCTTGATGTCATTAAAAACCACTTTAGGATTTTCATCATCAGGGAATTTGCTCGTTGGAAGTTCGTCATCCTTGTAAGTCCAATTATCATCTTTTTCATGTTGTTCAGAAGGGTACGAATAAGAAAATGTTACTCTATAACGCGTTGATTCATCAATCGCATTAGACGAATATATGGGAATTAAACGAAAAAACAAGAATATACAATCTCCTTTTGGACCCATCGATGATTGTATAAGACCATTTCCGGTGATTGATAACATTCGATCGAATAGTTCTTTATTTGGAGCGACATCTACTAAACATTGAGTTATTCCCAAATTATTTATTTTCAATTCAGGAATTTTCTGTTTTCGAACTATACAAATTATAAAGCAAGCATGTTATGATCAAAAAATCAAAATAAAATCACATATGCTGTATATTCCAATTCATGACTTACTTGTAGAATGTATTCCGTCCGCGCCTACCAAGAAATCTCCTCGCACTCTCGTACCATCTTCAAAGATAGCCCAAACTCCTTCCTCATTTTCATGATATCCGACACATTTCTTACCCCATTGCACGTCAATACCTTCTAATAATAAATCTCTTAATCTATCCCTATAACTTACAATAAATGCAAATTTATTGTTTAATTTACTAAATTCATAAACATTCTGAAATTGATATTCTGGAGATTTAAGTAAAACATTTCCTATATGATCATGAATTGTCATAACATGATTTTCAATTCCATCGCTAATTGAATCCGGTATAACTTCATGAAGTCTTGTGGCAATTGATTCCGGAATACATTTAATTAAAGATCTTACTCCCGTGCAATTTAATGTAATATGATAACCTTGCCACCGATCTAATTTAATGAAAGTGTAATTAATGATAATCCGTAAAAAAAGGTGTTCAAAGCAACAAAAATGTATCACATCAGTACCTTGTGGGTTTGGTTCCCGGTCAAAAATTTTTACATTAAATTTCTTTTCGATTACGTTATGATTTTTTTGAATAGAATGCGCTAAAGCTAGCCCTCC